GTTTTGATTCCCTCCGCTAGCCCCTCCTCCGAGAGCTGGCGAGACAGGTTTCGTTTTCGCCACTGGTGGGAGGGAAGAGTTGTAGGTCAGGTGCCTTTACTTATCCCCACGCCTCTATTCACGCTCACTCTGTTAATCACGCCTCCAGAAAGCTTGAAGAGATTTTGTGTGATTTCCCTGCTGTATGGGAGATTGTCTAAATGTCACAGACCTGTTCTATCGCTGAATGAGTTGCAATCAGTCAAAAACTGGCTATGGTGACATCAGCTCTCCAAGATGATGGCCGCTGGCTTCCTCGGTGGGCTGACCGGTGTGGAGGACAGAACTGGACCGCTTTCTTCCCCGTCTCAAACCCAGAATTCAGCACTGAGCACAGTGAGGGCACAGCCCGCAGGAGCCCGCAGAATCAGTAGCGCTGTTTCTTTGCGGTGCTAGCTCGCCATTTCTAGGGATGCCGTTTCCCGGCACGCTGCAGTCTCTAGCAGCAGGGCGAGCCGCTGAATAAGCAGCTTGAATCTCCGGGCAGACAAATCACTAGCGGTTGAGCCCCAGTAACCGATCCTTGGGCGATGGAAATCCCTCCTCTAGGTTTCCGTGTACCCCAATTTTGCTGGAAATTCCTAACAAGATAGCTTTTGGCCGTTCTAACTTGTCTTTCACCTGAGCAGTGAGGCAGTACACGGGGGTGATGCACTTCATTCGCTGCCATCTTCCAACTCAATGTAGTATCTTTTACATACATATAAACTGTCCTGTAATTAGGGCATTGGGAATGTGATATCCTTTCATATATTACACTACATACAACGAAGTGACTCTTGTGACCTATTTATCAATTAGTTTTGGTGGAAAGGAGCAAAACTCTTCAAAGGGTTACATTACATATTTGACAGTATGTTGTCAGTTTCACATAAGATGACTTGTTTTGACGTTGTCAATATTCTTAAGGCTGAGGCAGGGCGATCCGTTTGCGACTTCAAAGCTAGGATCAGCAAAAGTGAAGCACTAAGCTACTCAGGGAGACCCTGTCTCTAAATAAAATACAAAATAGGGCTGGAGATGTGGCTCAGTAGTTGAGTGTCCCTGAGTTCAATCCCTGGCACACATACACCCTGCCCCCCAAAAAGAGAACCATATGGCTTCTCACATCAAATCTTAATATCATTTTGGAGTAGTAGGTCTGAGCATATCACACTTTATTCTTTGTGAAGGTTTCTCATTGCAAATTTTACGTAACTAAGCAAATGTCTCTAAAATCGAGGAAATTTATGAGAGCTTTCTTGTCTTTGTTCCCAGATTGGTGAGTAAACCATGCATTTATCAATTATCTGAATAAAGGCCAAAATAATTTTGTACCTCTAACAGAAGTGAAATACTTGGTAACCAACTAATGTGTTTGGTCCCTTTGCCTTTCCTTGAGGCACATTGGCTCTGCTCTTAATTTTTTCAATCATCAAACTTTGCCAAGTGGTTCCACTATATTACAGTTCATTCCAGTAATGACACATTTGTTATGTAACCATTTTATACAATGAGAATTTCATCATTTGTATCACACAAACCTCTTGATTATTTTTTCATCAGTGTTGTTGGATTCATAAGACACTTGTTTAGTCTGTTTTTCCTCATAGTGCCAAAGTGTACCAAGAAATCATAGCCAGTGAATAGATCACTGAAGAAAAAAAAAAAAGCAGAGTGATTGTGGATTCTCTACCACTTTAGGCATTTATAGAACTGCTTGATGCCAAAGCAAAAGGTCACTGTCAGGTGCTTCTGAAGTACTTTTTCCACAATATAAGTCAAAGTTATAGCAATATCTCGCTATTCCCCACAGTGCCCAGAATTTATAACCAAATCTTATGACCTTACCTCTTATGAATTGTTTTAGTGAATTGTGTCCATAATATCTGATAATTATGTCATCCACTGCCAAATGTTCTCCAAAGATAGCACAATGTCCACTTTCCTACAGCTTTCAGAATAAATGTCTTCTCTCATCTATTCTCTGGAGTATGAAAGCATGGGTCACAGCTCATCAGCAAGTGTCCCTAGAAGCAGCACATCATCATGCCAGGCAGCAGTGCTGTGCCCTGCACATCACTGCACCACACACATGTCCCTAGGACACTGATGATTTGAAATGCAGCATGTTCCTCAAGATAGAATGGCATCCCCTTTCTAGAGAATACTTTTATGAATATATTTTATACTGCTTATCAATTATGTAAATATTTTGTTCAGTTGATCATTTAGCTAGAATAACTTTTTTATAGTTTTTTTATTGTTTCTTTTTAGTTTTTTATGACAGCAGAATCAGTTGTGATGTAGTTATATCTTATTCTAGTTAGAGTCCCATTCTTACGGCTGTCCTTGGTGGTGGGATTCTCTGTGGTGTTTTCATGTATGTACATGGGAAAACTATTTCAGACTCAGTCCACTGTCCTTCCTTTGCTTACTGCCCCTTTCCCTCCACTCCCCGTTGTCTAATCTACTACACTTCTATCCTTCCTCTCACCACCACCCCTTCTTGTGGGTTAGCTTCCACCTATCAGAGAAAACATTTGACCTTTAGTTTTGGGGGGATTGGCTTATTTCACTTAGCGTGATAGTCTTCAGATTCAACCATTGGCAAATGTTATAAAGTCATTCTTCTTTGTGGCTTACTAATACTCCACTTTGTATATTTACCATATTTTCTTTATCCATTCATCTATTGACTTGGGTTAGTTCCATAGCTTAGCTAATTGAGTTGCTATAAACATTAATTTGGCTGCATCATTGTAGTATGCTGATTTTAACTCCTTTGGATATAAACCAAGGAGTGGGATAAGTGGGTCAAATGGTGATTCCATTCCAGGTTTTCTGAGGAATCTCCATACTGCTTTCCAGAGTGGTTAAACCAATTTGCAGTCCCACCATCAATGTATGAATACACCTTTATCCTCGCATTCTCACCACCACTTATTATTACTTGTATTCTTGATTATTACCATTCTGACTGGAGTGAGATGGAAATCTCAGTGTAGTTTTAATTTGCATTTCTCTAATTGCTAGACATGTTGAATATTTTTTTCATATATTTATTGACCATTGGTATTTCTTCTGTGAAGTGCCTGTTCAGTTCCTTTGCTCATTTATTGATTAGGTTATTTGGTTTTCTTTTGGTGTTTTTTGAGTTCTTTATATATGCCAGACATTAAGCTCTATCTGAAGCGCAGGTAAAGATTTTTCTGTCATTCTGTAGGCTTTCTCTTCATGCTCTTGATTATTTCCTTTGCTGTGAAGAAGATTTTTAGTTTGATGCCATCCTGTTTATTGATTATTGATTTTAATAATCAATAAATAATAATTTTAATAATCAATAAACTTCTTGCTCTGTTGTGTTCTTATTAAGGAAGTCAGTTTCTGTTATGGTATATTAGAGTGTTGGGCCTACCTTTTCTTTAAGTATTTGCAGGGTTTCTGTTCTATGACCTAGGTCCTTGATCCACTTTGAGCTGAATTTTATACAGGGTGAGAGATAGGGGTTACTATAAAAGTTATTCTACTACATATGGAAAACTGGAATTCCATATGAAGTAGGGTAATTTTTATAGTAAAATTTATATCATTCTCACATTGAATTTAAAATATTTTCAAATACCCTTGTCAATCACCTATTACTTTTCTCAATAGATGTCTAAAACCCTACGATAATTATTTCAAAGTTACCAAAGTGCTGTATTTGCTGCTTAATTTATGTTGTTGTGGGTGTTCTGCATCTGGGACACTGGGACAAGATGGTTACCAATCGAACAAATAAGTAGGCCGCAGAGCCTGGCATCGTTCCCCTTCTTCATCATCCCCTCTCCTTCTGGAGACTGTTAGGTCATGACAGCTATTATGTCTCACTAGCTTAGCTCATTAAGCTGGAGGAAACCTGTTTGAAAATGTTGATGGTATATTTTGAAGATGGTCAAGTTAGAATACAGGGCCAGCACTTGCCTAGAGCAAGGTCCTAGATTCCATCCCTAGCACCAAAAAAAGAAAAAAGAAAGAAAGAGAAGAAAAAGAAAATTTTAAAAATAGATATTGATTGATTCAATCTGACTTAATTGGAGGAATTCCCAGCTCAGAAAGATGTTTGGGTTAGAGTTGCAAATTCAGACTTTGTCAGAATATAAGTATTTAAAAATCAGAAGATTTTATTAGATCAACAAGGAAAAGACATAGAGAAAAGGAGCAAGAACTGCGCTTTGGGTGGTTCAGTATTACAAGATGCAGAAGAAGAAGGTGAGGCAGCATTTGAGACTGAGAAGACGCATTAGTGAGGTGGAAGGAACCCCCACAGTGGGGTGCGCTGAAGGCAGTCCAGAAAGCCAAAGAAAAAAGAAGTGATAAGTTATCTCAGTACCATCAAAAGGTAAGACCATGGTGACAAAAACTTGATTGGAGGGAGTGTAAAAAGAATGGAAGGAGATGAGTAGAGGAGTTTTGCATCATAGGAAAGAAATGGAGTGTGACTGACAAACAGAACTAGAATTTTAACAGTATTTTTAGTGGGCGATGGCGATGATTGGTAGGGATAAAAACACATCAAAGGTAGTACAGTGTGATCCAGGTAATAAGGACATGATTTGAATAATATCAAATAACGTAAAGAAGGAGAAATTCAGAGATTTTTTTCAAGAATATGATACTAATGGATGATGACTTAATTTGTATAGGCACTTGAAAAAGAAGAAAAATTTTAAAATCTCTAAGATTTCTATCTGTAGAGATTGGAAGAATGATGGAAACACTGGCTGAAATAAATGTCAGAGTAAGTTTTTAATTAGGACAAGGATGTATGAGGTTTGGAAAAACAGATATCATTCGTGACTCTGGCAACATCTTCAAATGGATATGTCCCAGAAGTTTAGGAGGTGATGTTATTATAAAGAGAGTGATTAGTAGGTTTTTAATAAATTCTCTTTGCTAATAATTATGTGATCTATAACATGAAATGATTATTTTTGTAGGCTCTGCTTGAAAAGAAGCAAAATGAAGAAGATAAAAAGAAAATGAGTGAAGCAGTTTCTCAGCTTATACAAAATACCTCTATAAGAACCAAGAAAGAAGTAAGGAGTTTTTACTTATATTTAAAATTCCAAATCTAAGTCCCAACTATAAAACTAAGTATTACCTAGAGACTTCAAAATTGAAAAGTAAAATTCAAGAAGACTACCTATGAAATTATTAGTATAAATGGTTAAAACCAAATGTTCCTTTCCTTTAATATTACTCCTAGAGGGACAACCATTTTAGACTGGTTTTTAATAGCCTTGTCAGTTTAAAAAATAAATAAATAAAGTTAGGGCTAGGGATATAGCTCAGTTAACAGAGTGCTTGCCTTGCATGCACAAGGCTGTGGGTCCAATCCCAGCACCACAAATAAATAAATAAATAAAAATAAAGTTAACTGATTTGCTTTCTCACAGACAAATAAGTGGTAAAGTTTGCATTCTTACAAAGCCAGTCTATAATGTTTCTTGCCACAAAAGTATTTCTTAGGAATCTATTACAGTCCTGGGCCACAGAACAACATTTTGGTCAACAACAGACTGTATATATGACATTGGTTCCATAAGGTTATGATGAAAAATTATTGTCACCTAGTAATTTCTTATTCTAGTAAGTTTTTATTCTTATTGAAATATGTTTAGATATACAAATATCTACCATTGTGCCTACAGTGTCCAGTACAGCAACATGCCGTTACAGGTCTAAGAACAATAGCCTAGGTATGTATATCAGCTCTACCTTCTAGGTTTGTGTTAAATATTGTCACAAAAACAAAATCACCTAACAATATACTTCTCAGAACAAACCCTTTTGTTAAGCAATTCATGACTGTCCTTTGTCACTGACTAAAACTAGATAAAATCCCAATATAAAAATTCCATTTTGAGGCAGAATCCAAACTAATTCCTGGGCTTTTTATTTCTGATCTTCTGTATCATTCCTACTAGAACCATGCTGTCTTTATGGGATTGAGACACCATAACTTTAGGCCAGAGTCTAAAGTCTATTTTCTTGAAGAATTATTTTTAAAATAGATAATTAACAAGTTGTATGTATTTTATGGCAAAAGTATTTTTATCAAAGTATTCTATCATGGTATTAACACTCCACTTGTATTTTCTAATCCTAAAATGAATTCACTTTGATTTTAAGGTTGGTGGAGGTTGTGTTTTGCATTAACCATTAGATAATCTCAGGGAATTTTTTCTAGGTTGATGTGATGGTGTTAATTCCAAATACCTTCACAAATATGAATATTAACTGCCTCCCATGCTTCCTGTTACTCCCCCATAAGGAACCCTACAGGCAGCGGAAGCTCATTGTCAAAACTGGACTCGCTCTCTTCCTCTCAGATCTTTTCCTTTCTCCTGTGCTCCTGTTGATTTCCTTAATACCCAGCCCCTCACTACTGCTCTGGTCATTCACTCAGGAAGTCTTTATTGAGCACTTCCTATGTGTCAAGCATTTTCTGCATCTCTGACTCCTTTGCATTTCACACTACTGCCAATTTGGGTTGTTGGTGTTTTTTTTTTTAATATATATAAACTTAAAAATTATTATTGAAAATAATACAGGTTCATGGTTAAAACAAATGGAAGATATATAACATTGTGTAAAAGAAAATTAAGATTGCAAACCCAGCATTCAGAAAATAATAATCACTGTACGTAGCATTTTTCCTTTGGATTTTCATTTAACTAAAATTATGGCATATGTGGAACAAAAATATATACATCAAAATAAAAGGGACATCTTAGAGTAGAAGTAGGGAACCAAGGAAGAGGGAGGAGGGGAGGGAAAAGGGAAAGAACTGGGAAATGAAGTTAACAAAATTCTACTAGGTACATATATGAATGTACCACAGTGCATCCAATTTTATATATAACTATAATGTCTCAATTGAAGAAGTAAACAAATAAATAGCTGGAAGACCAATAGAATAGAGGAAGGGATTTAGGGGGAAAGGGGTGGAAGGGTGTAGGACTGGGGATTGAAATGGAGAAAACTGCCATATGCATGTGTGAGTATGTCAAAATGAACCCCACATTGTTATAATACACTAAAATGAAAATTTTAAATATATGTTAAAATATATATACTAAAATTTTTTTTATATATTTAAAATTTACTTATATATCTCACCCTGTGAATAGTGTTAAGCCTGAGAGGTAGAATAATAAGACACATTTCACTTTTAACATTTTTTATTTCTATAGTGTTTGAAATTTCAAAGAGTAGATTTTTTTATAAACAAAATATATATTTTATATGCTGTTTCTCATAGGATATAATATGTAGCATATATTGCTTACATTAATTTGTACTTCAAAATATATTGAAAAGGTTTTGTTTTTTAATTTTGCATCTCTGTTGGTAATGATTTCCCTACTTATTAAAATTTATCATGCTCTCCAGATACGTAGAATAAACCTGTTTAATTGAGGATAACTTTACAGGTGTTTATTCTTATTGGCTAAAGAAATTATAATGTACAAATTTTTACATATTTCTGTTCTGGCCATAAATTTGAACAAAAAGGTACAACAAAGTTTATTTTTTTATGTATTATTTCTTGGCTACTTCTCAAATAAAATCTATTTAAAAATAAAGCATTGTTTACTTTTTTTTTTTTTTTTTTGATGAAGGATCTCACTAAGTTGCTTAGGGACTTGCTGAGGCTGGCTTTGAACTTATGATCCTCCTGCCTCAGCCTCCTGAGTCTCTGGGATTATAGGGTTGCACCACTGTGCCCAGCTAAACATTATTTACTTTTGATTTTAAATCATGGCTAGCATACTCATTGGCAATTGCTATTTCTATTTCATGTTAATTTACCTTACCTCTACTACTTACTATCCATAAAATTATAGAAGGAAAAGTTTTCTTAAATAAGGTTGAAGCAAGAGAAGGTATATGTCCCTGTGTAGACTTTAGAGCCCCAAGCACAGTAAATCACCTCATAGATGTGTGTGTTTGTTCCTATAACAAGGGTTTACCTTTTGTTTCATCAGATACTAGCACTAGAAAATTCCTTATGAACTTTGGAGCATAGTGGAGCAAGATGTCATCAGTGTTAATAGTTCTACATAGTCTTCAAAAATATGAATAGCTGAGTTCATCTGAATTCTCCAGCATTAGTATAAAAATATTTTAGAATATGTACCCTACTATTGTTATGAACCCTCAAGTTAGCTATGTCCACTTTAGACAATGAATGGAGCACTTTTTAGAAATTATGTGAGAGATAGACATGGCTATGCTTATCAGGATCAAAATGTTTGTATCACGGGAACATCCATGACTTAGTTTCTTTTTGCCTCAATGTATTAATCAGCTTGCCAGTTCTAATTTGTAAGAAGAAAAAGTTTCGGTTTGGCTGATGGTTTCAGAAATTCCAGTCCATGATCATTGGGCCCCATCACTTTTAGGACTATAAGGAGTCTGCAAATCACTGCAGGAGTGTATTGGAATAGCAAAAGCACTGGCCTTCATGAAAATCCAAGGGAGATCAGTAGAGTAGAGGAAAGGGGTCAGGGGAGGGAGGAAGAAAGGGGGCAAGGGGACTTCTGGGGAATGATATTGACCAAATCCTATTGTTATATTGTGTGCATGTATGAATATGTACCATGAATCTCATCACTATGTACAACAATAGTGCACCAAAGGAAAAAAAAAAAACCCACACACCGCATGGTTGGGAAGTGAATGGGAGGAATGAGAAGGGTCAGGGTCCTGATTTCCCCTTTTAGGGCCTGTCTCCAGTGACCTGAAGGCCTCCACCAGGCCCCACCTCTTAAAGGTTCTGACATCTCCCAGCAGTGCCTTACTGGGACCAGGCCTCTGCCTATGGCCTGGGAGACTTTCCAGATCCAAACCAAGCACTCAGTCTTCCTAACCTGTTTGGAGATAATAACAATTTCATATGGCTAACTTATATAATCCTTAAAAGGCTCATCTCTTATTACTGACCCGTGAACAAAGTAGATTGATCTTTAATGTCCTAACCCTTAATTTTATAAGGGAAGTCAACATCAATTATGACCTAAAATACGGCCACATAAATGTTGACAGATCTTCAAAAATATAGTTTATATTAATAAACCAGATAAAGTACATGGCATTTTTCTAAATGTTCCAAAGAAAGTTTTCATTATGTTTTAAAAATAGTTCATTTAGTACAATTCTAGAAAATTCCCAAAGACTTTTGGATCATGGAAATTTTCTTGACAGTATACGATTGGCATCAGTGTTCTTCACACTCCTTTTAAAAAACATGAATATCTATTAGAAAAAAAATATTGTCTTAGGAACCATCCTGACAAGGTGTGACTAATTCCTCAGAATACTCCGAGCACATAAATTGTACTGTTTCTGAAGATATTTCTGTGTTAATTTAAATGCATATTTCCTTAAAAAGTAATTTGCTTACTCTAAGATCTGATCTTATGTGCAGCATAAAATGTTCTTCCATTTGTGAAATATAAGTGCCTTAAGGTTTATTTGTTGCATTTGCAGTGTGTGATGCTGTTTTTCTCTTACCCTGCTCTGGGTACCAGCTCCCAAAGTGTTGCTCAGAGATCCTGCAACCACACCTACTTTCAGAGTGACATTGCCACACTGTTACTCTTTTCACGCCCATTTTATCACAAGCCAGTAGCATGGTTTTCCAAAGGCTGTCTGATCTGCAACAACACAACAGGTTGAATACAGAAACAGATCAGAGAATCTAGCTGACTTCTATTCCGCAAGACATTAAGGAGATTCACAAAGATGTAAAATAACGCCACTCTTCTCAAAAAATGTTTAGTTTCGGTGAATATACTTATTTTTCATAAAAATATATTATTTATACTAATTAATATGATTTAAATTATTGTTTTAAAGGAATTAATAATTTTCATAAAATGTTTCCAGTTTTTATTTCTAATAACAGTAAAATAGTGATAAAGAAGCCATATAAACAAGAGCCACTGTCCTTTTAGATGTATCATCCTATTTCTTTTATTCTCATGACAGATTCTTGGCTCTTAAATACATTGTGTGTTTATTCATCTTTTATGCCCTAAAAGTCATAATTTTACTTTTTATATAAAGTGTTATCCCAAGGACCGGGATATAGCTCGGTAGTAGATCATTTCCCATCTCCATTACTAAAAAACATGTATTATCCTAAAATTGTATCAGATATTAATCATTTTTACTTTTTACCTAAATAATTTGTAGTGTCTTAATTTACAGGTTGAAAATACAAAAAAGCAATATCATGTACAGATTTCTCGATTAACAGAAGAACTTTCAGCCCTTCAAATGGTATGTGAGAAGACTGTATTAATAATTTCTTTGAAAAATTGTTTAAAAGCCACTATAGAAGGTATTGGACACTCATTCATTCAAAATATATTTACTGAGCCATGACCTATGCTAGGTGTTAATGACAAAGTGAAAATCCAGAAAGACATGTTTTCTGCAGTCTTGTGCCTTGGTCTAGCAGGAAAGATACATGGCACTCAGCACATGTACTTGGTAATCACTTGCCTTTGACAGAACACACAGTGCCATTGAGCACCCAGCTGCAGCTGCTCCCACACGTTGGCTTCATCTAGGAGGCCAGGCAGAAAGGGAGAGGGAGAAAAGGCCGGGAAGCCCCCTAAGAAAGGAGTACTGAAGAGCAAGTAGGCGAAGGGGGAGAGGAAGAGAGAGCTTGTGTGGTGGAGATTGCATTAGAGATATTAATTTAACTTGAAAATTTGAGGAGATAAATTTTTTTGTTGTTAAACATTTTTTAGTTGTAGATGGACACAATACCTTCATTTATTTATCTTTATGTGGTGCTGAGGATCCAACCCAGTGCCTCACCCATGCTAGGTGAGTGCTATGAGCCACAACCCCAGCCTCGAGGAGATGAAATTTTAAAGTTTTGCTTGTAGGAGAATAAAAATAAAGGCAATTCCAGGAAATGGAAAGATATTTACATCTTCACAAACTCTTAACTTTTCTGAATCCCTGTTATCACTTTTCATCTGTTACAAGACGGAACAGTGAGCTATCTTTTAATAAAGATGCTGCACTTTTGTATGTCAGCACATACCCACACACAAACTGGTGCTCTCTCCATGAAATCTTATTCCTTCAATTAGATTGGAAGCACCTTGGTGTAGAAAGTCTTTTGTCTTCCTTCATTTCCCCCGTTGCTTCCTATGGTGTTTTTACACAGTATATTTTGTTTTTTGTTTTTTTTTTTAAAGAGAGAGTGAGAGAGGGGGACAGAGAGAGAGAGAGAGAGAGAGAGAGAGAGAGAGAGAGAGAGAATTTTAACATTTATTTATTTTTTCTTAGTTCTCGGCGGACACAACATCTTTGTTGGTATGTGGTGCTGCTGAGGATCGAACCCGGGCCGCACGCATGCTAGGCGAGCGCGCTACCGCTTGAGCCACATCCCCAGCCCCCACAGTATATTTTGAAATAAATATTTATTAACTGAATGATGTTTAAATACATCTGAAAGAGGAATCAGGTCTTTCCCACATTCTGCAAACACTGTAGTGTACGTTATGTACAGGTCCTGAATGTATAGAATCAGAAACAGTGTTACTTTTTATTTATTTTTTAAATATCACTTGTTTTGGTGATATAGGAACATTGTGTAAAATTAATGGGATGCAATATGGCTAATTAGTCATGTGCCATTCACTGTTATACAGTATTACCTCACCCTGTTATCTTGCTTATCTATTCCATGGGCTGATTAGCTATTAGAAGACTCTCTTCTCTGTAGAAGAGGAGGAATAACAGTGCCTTTACCCCGCTCTAGAATTATTCAGTGGACTGTCCACTCTGCAAGAGCAAGAAAATTAGTTCTGTTTTCCCAAAAGAATGAGAACTAGTAAGGATTTTTAAAATAATTATTATCTGTGTAACAACAAAAGTTATATTAAACTCACTCTAAAGTTTTAAAAAATTGATAACTTCAGTTTATTACTAAACATGTTTCTAATGCTTATGATAATACAATTCTTTCTCGTAGTTATTTTTCTAAACATCAAACATAATTTGATGTCATGTTGATTCTGTGTATAAAAAAACTGTATTGTTTAAAGTGTTTGAACATTAAATATGTTATAAAATATGTTCAAATGAAGACATTTTCATTTACTTTTAAAAAGTATATATTCCCAGAAAAATCTAGGCTGTAGTCTCAGGTGTAACAACCCTGTTTTCTGTTATTAAAAAGCAGTTGTATTGGGCTGGGGTTGTGGCTCAGTGGTAGAGTGCTCACCTACCAAGTGTGAGGCACTGGGTTTGATCTTAAGTACCACATAAAAATAAAATATATTGTGTCCATCTATAACTAAAAAATAAATTATTTTTTTAAAAAAGCAATTGTATGTAACTGTCTTTACCAAAACAGTTAAGTCTAAGAGTAAGTTTAACATATTTTGACTAGCCCAAAATTAAGTTATGCTTGCAGGAAGAAAAAAACTTATACATTTAGGTTACCATGCACCTTTTTAAAATAGGTTAAGAAAAAGCTAAAGGCAGTGCACTCCAAGCTACCGTTCTCTTTAGAGACCAACACCCACCCCCCCAGCCTTTAGCTTCTACTGCAAGACAGAGTTTCTTTTAAGAACACTCAAGATTTTAATTCTGCCATGAATCTCTTGCAAACGAGGAAGAGGATCAGTTATAAATGAACACATATATAGGAATGATATGAAGCATTCATTATGATCTTTTCTTAGATCTTGAATTTTTTTTTGAAAACCCATTTTTTAGTTTCTAAATACACAGAAATTTAGACTGTCTTTTTATTGTTGATTTCTAATTTGGTTACACAAGGGACACAGATCACGGTATATATGATATTTGTCTTAAAATTTGCTGAGGCTTCCTTTATGCTGGGATATGATTTCAGAAATACTCCATGAGTGCTTGAAAAATAGAGCTGTTTTCATTTTCTCTTGTTTTCCCCAAACATAGGTTTATCAGGGGTGATTAGCTAATAACTCTAAAAACCTTTTAATAATTAATTTTTAATGTTTGTGTTAGTATTGTAGTGTGTTTTTAATAGAATTAATATGAAAATTTTCTATAAAGACTTCAACTGTTTTGTCTCATTTTACCTTTGTTACACTGGGTTAATCCAATATTCTTTTAGTTAATATCACCTGTCAATATGATATGGTGAATTTCATGCCCTTGTATATGTAACATACCTATAACATGCTGGTCTTTCTACCCACATGCCAGGCCCAAAAGTTTAATCTGACTTTGTCATTAACATACATATTGAAAGTCACATGGGAAAAGTTATAAAATAGAAGAAATACCATATTCAGCATCACGAAACTAACTTTTTAAAAAATATTTATTCTAAGTTTTAGGTGGACACAATATCTTTTTTTAAAAAAAGAGAGAAGAGAGAGAGAGAAATTTTTAATATTTATTTTTCAGTTTTCAGTGGACACAACGTCTTTATTTTATTTTTATGTGGTGCTGAGGATTGAACCCAGCCTCTTGTGCATGCTAGGCGAGCACTCTACCACGGAGCTACAACCCCAGCCCCTACCTTTTTTAATATTTATTTTTTTTTAGTTATAGTTGGACACAATACTTTTACTTTATTTATTTTTATGTGGTGCTAAGGATCGAACCCAGGGCTTTGCATGTGCTAGGCAAACAGTCAACTGCTGAGCCACAACCCCAGCCCCCAAAACTACCTTTTAATAGACAAACAACTTCCAGTATACAAGAGCATAAATGAAATATTAAAGGTGCAGTTGGTCTACACTGAATATACTATCTTAATAAAAGATACTAAACTTAAATTTTTCATCTGATTTGTAACATCAGGTAAAGGTCTTCATTATAACCAAAGTGATTAATTTGGGCGTCACATTAAAAATAATTAAAGATAATTAAATATCTTTAGCAGAATACTGTCAGAAAAGCAGTCTCCTCTGAAGCATGATTCACAATAATAAAAAGCTATTTATATTCATCCTCCAAAACACATTAACGTATAAAATAAATAATTGTGAAGAAAACCAGTAATTAGAATAATTTTTGTTTTATTAGCAAAATATGAAATTTTATTTATTAATTGATATGCTTTCTAAGTTTACTGATTACAATCTTTTGAGCATAAAATTTTTGAGCAAAAGTGTTTTATGTTCCTGCTAATAAAACGTATTTAGTATTCCCATGGTTGTTTGTAAGTTTTACAAAGACAAATTAATTGTTTTAGAATTTGTTCACCTGGCACCTTTTGAGCCTGAGGATATCCCGCAGGATATTATACTACTATCTAGCTCAATGTTCCCTTTCCAAAATATTTAATAAGAGTACATAAAAGAATCTGTACCGTGAGAAAGGGACCCTGGTTATTTTTTCCTCCCCATCACTCAACCTATGTCCCACCTAGTCGGTTGAAGTAGAATTCTTTGGCAGTCTATAACTAGAGGTCACTTCTGAAATCCTAGGATGAGTAGCTCTTGAAAATTAAGTTTTGGTTTGTTTCTAGTCACTATGACCTTACTTTGTTGTTAACGTAAGTTTGATATTTCTGTTATGGGCAAGTCATTTTAGTTTTTCATTTCCCCCTATTTTCCTTAAGGTTTCACCAAACATATTTATTTACACTATAACTTGAATTTATAGGAGTGTGATGAAAAACAAAGCCAAATTGAACGAGCCATTAGGGAAAAAAAAGCTGTGGAAGAAGAACTAGAAAAGGTAAAAAGAAAAAGGAAATATACCTACCTAAAACACAACTACAAATATCCAACAATTCTGTCTGCTTTCATCACATTATCTACTAGCAACCCTTGTATTTATAAGTATTCTCCTGGTGAGTGTTTTTATTTTCTTGGAATATACTCAGAGTCTTCATTTAAATTCTGGTATTGCCTGCATACATTTCTTTCCAAGAACAATCATATTCTTTGACCATAAAACTCCTTGCTTAACTGTATCCCAATAAGAAGTTTCATTTTTTAATTTTAAGTCAGCTCTTTCTGGGGTTAGACCATCTACAAAAATAACAAAATAATTAACTAGAAAATTGTAACATTGCTATGATTTTGCCTTTAAAATTGTAATAATTAGGAAAAATATTGACCTCAATTAATATTTGAGAAAAACTTTAAAATTTCTTTCTTTCTTACACTTTTTTTTTTTTGTATTAAGAGTTGAACCCAGGGGTGCTCAACCACTGAGCCACATCCCCAGTCCTTTTTTTATATTTGGTTTAGAGACAGGGTCTCATTGAGTTGCAAAATTTCTCGCTAAGTTGCAGAGGCTGACTTTGAGCTTGAAATCCTCCTGCCTCAGCCTCCCAAGTCGCTAGGATTACAGGCATATGTCATAGAGCTTAGCTCTTTACACTTTTTTATTAACAACAAATATCACATTTTTTAAAGTGCCTTGGGAAAAAAAAAAAGACCAAATTTGAACATACAATATTTTAGATGCTGTATTAGGAACTGTCCTAGAGTAGTAAATAACTTGTCCAATATTAAGAAATAGTAAATGATAGTAAGCATTTGACTTTCAAAGATGAGCTACATAGACGAAAAATCATATGATATATCCATGTTCTCAAAAATCATGACACCAGATAGTAAAATAATAATTTATAAAGCAGAACTTGATATACAGCCTGATTTTCAAGAAAAGAAATGTATACGTGTGTTCAAAGTGAGACCTTCCTGGTTACCCCGCTCCTGGAAGGTAGATCCTTGTGAGTCTCCATCTGTCAGGTTGGGTCCTCTTTAGCTTGCCACCTATTGCTGTACATTGGAGTTTGAGGAATTCTTGAACACTACTGGGGTTGGATCAAGGAATAGGCTCCACTGGGGAAATGGAGCACCTTCAAGGCTGAAGGCAGCAGGCAGAGCAAAGGCACACTCCATGCTCTCTCCCTGTCCCGCAGGCCAGCCTGCCTGGTCACAGTCCTGCTGAGACTGAAGTGCAGTTGTGCTAGCAACACCATGCAGACATGCTGGTGCTCTGCCTTTTCATAGTGCAGGTGTGACAGCAGTCTAGTCAGTGGAGAAGACACAGGTTGCGTGGCCAGGTGGTCTGGATCTGAGGGGTAGCTGGGTGGGACTTATCAAAATGGAGAATACTACCAGCTGAAGACCTTGCTTCCCTTGAGGTGTGTCAGCCCCTGTGCTGTAAGTGCAAGGCCAGAGTCTCATGAGAAGCTAAGCTGGGGTTCAGCCACTGCTGGGGAAGGGGAACTCCCATAGCTACACCACTGTCCAGATAAGCCAGAGGGAAATTCTGGAGCCAGATAGTTGTACTCATTGCAGTATTTGAATTTTGGAGAATTATCTCAAAAGTTGTTTATCAAAGAATTGCCAGTGGTTATCTCTAGGTTGACATTTATAGTATGTTTTGTTTTGTTTTTAGCTTTGGCTGCTTTACATTTCATATTATTAGCATGAGTAATTTTTTAAAAATAAGTGATTATATCTCAGTTTTCAGCATTTTATTTTGTAAATGTGAAGCAATTAGAATTAATCTTTGATGTGTTTTAATACATTATAGTGGAAACAGATGAATACATGATTGTGACTTTTTGTCATCATTGATTTCAGTATCTAAACTGTATAATTTATTAAGAGGGTTTCCTTCTATAAGGAAGTACACATATAAGCCTCTTCTGCAGATTTACCGTGAAGGCAGAGGGAATGAAAGTGACTACAGAAAACTGGAAGAAATGCACCAAAGATATCTGATTGCAGAGAGCTCAAAAGACGATCTTCAGCTAAGACTTAAAAGAGCAGAAAGTAGAATAAAACAACTTGAAATTAAGTAAGTTTTCTTTTGGGTTTTCTGTGATGACATCTTCAGAATTCCCATGATATTTGAGATTCCTGGGTGTGTGTGTGTGTGTGTGTGTGTGTGTGTGTGTGTGTGTGTGTGTGTGTGT